ATGACAAGTCGGCCCGTCACCGGGAAGCCACACGAGGAAACAGACCTGCTGGGCAAGTGGCCCACCAGCACCCACAGGTAGGGAAACCGCCCTGACTGGGGCGACCCAATCAGAAAAGAAGGACAAAGGACTGTCACCTGCTGGTCGTGGAGAGAAGTGAGAAGCAGGGCAAAGGTCAGGAGTGTGAGGAGGAGGTCCTTCCACGGCCCCGCCCAACCCTCCATAAACTGACTGGCTCGTTTCTGTTCAAATCAGCAGGTCCTTCCAGTTACTTTTGATTTCCTCACGTGGGGATAGCACTTCCCAAGTCACCTGGGCATGTAATGGCATCTGTGACTCCTGTCCCTCTTTGGTCCTGAGCACCCGCCTGTCACACCACTCAGCTCTCATGGTGTCTAGCGCTTACAGAAGTTCCTACCTCTTGGTTTCGCCACCATGGTAGTGTTTGGTACAGCTTCTCCTTTGCGCCAAACATCACCTGCTCTGCCTCCTAGTTTTACACCTTCGTGGTTACAGTCCTTCCTGGTCCCCCCAAGGAGGCACTCAGCACCCCACTCACAGCTCCCCCGCCATTGGTCCTTAAGTCTGCTGTGCCTTGTTCTAGACCAGTCCTTTCAGGTTCGGTTTAAAATGTCATCGCCATGGCGAGCTTCCCCATCTGTAAACTCCACCTGGGTTGCAGCTGCTCCGAGGTTTAACCTGGTCATCCATGGCGTCTCTAAGACCTCCCAGGGGACACCCTGCATTCCAAACCAGCCAGAACAGGGTCCCCCCGAGAGACATCCACGTCTGACCTAGAACCCATTTTCACGAACCCGTGACTTAGTCTAGTACTGAATGCATCACTCCACAAATAAAATGAACAAAAAGAAATTATGTTCTTTTTCCTTTTTTAAATAGTCTGTTTCTTTAAAATTTTTTAAAAAATATTTTATTTATTTATAGAGAGGGGAAGGGAGGGAGAAAGAGAGGGAGAGAAACATCCATGTGTGGTTGCCTCTCATGCGCCCCCTACTGGGGGATCTGGCCCACAACCCAGGCATATGCCCTGACTGGGAATCAAACCTGCGACCCTTTGGTTTGAAGGCTGGAGCTCAATCCACTGAGCTACACCAGTCAGGGCTCTTTTTCTAAATAGTCTTGATTTATCTTCCCCAGGTAAGCCATGCCATTGTCTGTAAGAAATTTCCTTACAGACTCAACACATGCTTCTATAAACCAGGACTAATTTTGGCATCGGTTTGCATCCTTGAGAAGAGACAGCAATAAGGGCCATGTTTGTCAATTCAGCTTCCCATTAGTGAGGCCTGAGCATGTGGCTCATTAGAATAATGACACCTATTTGCATTCCTTTGTCTCCTGACAGCAAAGAGCTGTTGATTGAATAATTTTAAACTCATTATACTATCACATTTAGCCTCTGCACACTCATGGTATGAATGACCTACTTGGCCAGAAAGCTATTTTTAGTCCATCCAAAAAAAAAAGGGGGGGGGACAAAACAAAGAAGCAAAACACTTAATTGAATAACATTTCTTTTCTTAAAATTATTATGTCCTGCCCCGGCTGGTGTGGCGCAGTGGATTGAGTGTGGGCCTGGGAACTAAAGGGTCACTGGTTTTACTCCCAGTCAGGGCACATGCCTGGGTTGCAGGCCAGGTCAGGTCCCCAGCAGGGGGCGCACAAGAGGCAACCACACATGGATGCTTCTCTCCCTCTCTTTCACCCTCCCTTCCCCTCTCTAAAAATAAATAAAATCTTAAAAGAAATTATTATGTCCTGAGCTGAAACCATATGAGTTGAGGAGAGGTGAAGAGGTGTGCCGGTTTCTACCCCTTGATAGTTGAAGAAAACCCTTCTAATTGCTTTATGGAGCATAGCGATGATACTAACAGCAAATATGAAAAAAAGACACCCAACATCTCAATCCAAACCATCGTCAGATAAAAATAAACCTGGCACAGAGTTCAGAAGCTCAGGAAACACAAGCGCTGATTGATCGTGTTTGGTTTGATTGAATGTAGAAGTGGCGTGATTCTGTTGATGGGTGTTTTGGCTTTGAATGTGATGAAAGACTTAACTGCGGTGGGTAGGTCGTTAACTGTGAGGGAATGAGGTGAAAAAGGATTAGAGAGAAGCGTCCTGCCTTGGCGCTACCGGCCCCTGCACACAACAGTCATTACGTCTGAATATCACATTGATTGAACTTATTTAACTAAAGATGAAAAAAATGACACTCTCCCTTTTAGTGTTTTGTCTTTGATCAAATCAAGAGCACAATTTCCATAGACAAAGAAGGGCATAATTTTAAGTCCTACAAGTAAGTCATTTTCCTCTTGGGAACATGAACAATTCACTTTCCTTGAGGGACGTGAACCAGCAATTTCCAGATGAGAGGCCTGAGGGATCTTTTGAATGTTTTGATTAAGGCAGCAATTAATTTAAATAATTCCTGGTGAGAGTTCCTTTTCATTATACTGCATTTCCCCAAATAATGTGTTCTATCTCTCCCCGGCATTTCAAGATCATAGTTTGAAAAAAAAATGGATCATTTCCATCCAACCCAATTTTGGCTGATCACACACGCTTACCTCTCCTAATTCCAAAAATCTCTTTGGAACGATAGAAATAATATGAAATGAACCCCTCAGAGCCAAACGATGTTCCCCTGCCAGCAATGGTAGAGTGGCTGTTATTAGGTAACCACTATTAACTCAGGAAACATTTGAAAAATAGCACCCTGAAGGCATTGGAGAGAGAACAGATATAGGAGGAGACTGAAGGGGGTTGGGAGAAAAGAATGGCTTTTCACATAAAAAGCTGTGAGGTGGCCCTGGCTGGTGCAGCTCAGTGGACTGAGCGCTGGCCTGCAGACCAAAGAGTCGCCAGTTCAGTCAGGTCGCATGTCTGGGTGGCAAGCCAGGTCCCCAGTAGGGGGCGTGCAAGAGGCAACCACACATTGATGTTTCTCTCCCTTTCTCCCTCCCTTCCCCTCTCTCTAAAAATAAATAAATCTATTTAAAAAAACTATAACAGAAAGGTCTAATATTCATGTCATTAAAGCCAGGAAAGGAGATGAGAAAAAAGGTGTGGCAGGGAAAGCAATCAAAACATAACTAGTCAGACTTCCTAAATTTGGCAAAAATCTATAGAATCAAGAATCCGAACAAATCTCAAACAGGATAAACCTGAAGAAATCCGCCCCAATACACATTATACTCAAACCTCTAAATACTGAAGGCAAAGAAAAAAAATACTGTAAGCCACTGGAAAAAAACAAAACAAAACATCTTACCTATAAAAAATAGTTGAAAGACAGCAGATTTCTTGTCAGAAAATATGGCAGCAAGAGTAAAGTAGCCCATTTTTCAAGTGTCAGAAGAACTGTCAGAACATAATCTTATAACCAGCAAAAATATTCATCATGTATGAGGTTAAAAAAAGGTATAAAAGATATCCCAGGCTAATAGTAATAAAGATATTGCATAGGTATTAACTGCTGGCAACGCTAATGTCGGACAAAGTGTTGGCTCCATGGCTTTCAATGGGTAAAACACAAGTCGGTAGTGACGCATGGGTGTGAGCCAGGGGCTAGTGACTCAATGAACTCTTATGGAGGTGATGATGATGGTGATGGTGCTGGGTACTTCTTGAGCACTTTCATTGCTGTTACGCTGCCATTTTCAAACATTTTTCTCACGGCCACTTCACAACTGAGGAAAGAGGGGTGGAGAGGCTGCCGGGTCACAGTTACTCAGCAAAGAAGCGGAATGGAAAGGGTTCAGGCCCAGGGAGTGGAATGCTCAGTCTCAGGGAGCACATTCTTAAGTTTTAAAAACAGACAACTTCACCCTGGCCGAGTAGCTGAGCAGGTTGCAGCATCGTCCCCAGGCTCCAAGGTCGTGAGTTCCATCCCCGGTCAGGGCATGTACAGGAATCAACCAATGAATGCATCAGTAAGTGGAACAACAAATCAATGTTTCTGTATCTTTCCCTCTCTCTCTAAAATCAATCAATGAAAACATTAAAAAAAAGACAACTCCCCCCTTTGGTTGGTGTAGCTCAAGTGGATTGAGCGCGGGCCTGCAAACCAAAGGGTCATCAGTTCGATTCCCAGTCAGGGCACATGCCTGGGTTGCAGGCCAGTTCCCAGCAGGGGACGCATGAAAGGCAACCGTACATTGATATTTCTCTCCCACTCTCCTTCCCTTCCCTTCTAAAGATAAATAAATAAAATATTTTTTTAAAAAAGAGACCTTCACCTAGCACAAGGAAAAAATGAACAGTGTAAGAGAAAGAATGCAGGGTGCTCCCATTCTTTCCAACTGTGCCTCCCAGCATCTCAGAAGTGGCCAAGGCCACCCCCATGCTCTCTGGCATGGCTGGAATCCAGGGATTTCTAGTCGGATCAGAGAAGTATGTACCTAATGACTAAGCTCCCTGTTCCATCAACGCACATTTCCTAATGAGTACACAAGGTGAGCACTGACTGAGCATGACAAACAATGTTGTTCTTATAGAACATTCTAGAAGAAGTGAGTTAACACAGCAGTGATCGCCATGCAATAACACAGGTACTGACTGAGTGCTGGAAATTGGGTGTGGAAGGTGGCCCCTTGGAAGAGGTGACCTGGAACTGAAGACGTGGAAAAAAAGACCTGCCTGGAGAAGGTGCAGGGGAGACAGTTCCAGGTGGGAAGTGCCTCCACTCACCTTCTCCGGGTCGCAGACCAGGAGGCCAGTCTGCAAGGTGAAAGGTGTGTGTATCCCACCACTCTCTCCAGGTTTCTAGAGCAGCTTGCAGCTGCTATCAGGGATACTTGCATAGAGAACTCAAATTCTGGATGGATGGATGAATGAATGGATGGAGAGATGGATTCATGGATAAATGGATTCATGGGTGGATGGATGGATGGATGGATGGATGGATGAGTGAATGAATGAATGCAGTAGCAAGCCCTACAGAATATCCACAGTTCTTACTTGTGGAAATAACTTACAGCTGCCGAATTTCAGGGGGCAAGCATGCGCGTCCATGGGGAAGTCTTCCAGCTGCATCGGACACTCTGCAGAGATGGTCAAGCTGAAAAAAAAACAAGAGACGGAGATTAAAGAGCCCAGCAAGTCTGGCTATTGATTCAGCCACTGCCGTGTCCCAGGCAGCCGTCTTAATTATTTCACTCATTATTTTCATTGCCATCATTTATCATCTAAACTGTCCCACCAAATTACACCAGCTTGCATGGTAGATAAATGTGCATTGGAAAGAAGGCTCCCATCAAATCCACTCGAGTTCCCCAGCTTGGCGTGTGTGTCTGCCCATACATTACCCCTCGGAAAGTGATGTGAGACACCTTTAAAAATAGTTTATTCCTTCTTTCTCATCCCTTACCCAGAGTGATCTAAAATACCTCTGTGACAGGGCTGAAAAGACGAGTATTTTCTAAAGGCTTTGCTAAGCTCAGAAACTATAACCATGGAATAAACGCACAGGCCAGATTTTCAGCGGAAGCTGGCTGCCTTTGTGGAGAACAGGTTGTTCCATCAAACTGCCAAGCAGCTGAAATTGCGGTGCAATGGCCACCCTTTGGCGCCGACTAATGATTGTTTTTACGTCACGCCTGGCCTTCTAAGTCATGAGACCAGTGCTCACTCCCACGGTCCCAGCAGCTAAAACAGCAACAGCTCTAAGAGGTGTCATCGGCGCCGGACACAGGGGCATCAAGCGTGTTCCAGCACGGACACAGCTGATTGGAGTAGCGCGATGAGGGGCGTTGCCATGAACACGTCTGGTGAAAAGGTGAGACAGCGATGCCCAGCGATGGGGCTGGCACAAGGCTGCAGACTTATTTATGAAGCCCTATGGGACTGGCACCCGCTGCCCGGCCCCTGTCCCTGTGTGGTGGGGTTCCTGATGGCAGGTCATGTGGTCCCAGGTTCTGTGAGTTTCGGAGCTCCTGCCCTGTGGTTCTTTCATTGCCCTACAGAGTTTCCTAATTAGGGAGTGACTCTAAATTCCCTTAATGAGGTAATTTTCTGTTTAGCATTCCATTGTCTAAAACAAGATTAAATGACATCAAGTCAAATGGAATTACAAAATGTCCTTCTCGTTTAGACAAATAATAATTCGGTGCAATATCAGCATCATTGTTCTCTCCCTTATATGGAGTCGGGATCTGACCTATGTGCCCTGATTTCTTGTTGTCCAGATATTTTCTACATGTACATCATATTTTCTTTTTGTTTGTGGTACATAAAATCCAGTCTTTCGCATACCTAGCATTAGAGCAAGAGTATTCCCACATTAAAATTTCTACAGGCCCTGGCTGGGTAGCTCAGTGGGTTAGAGCGTGGTAATGATACGCCAAGGTTGCAGGTTCAATCCCTGTCAGGGCACATACAAGAAGCAAACCAATGAATGCGTCACTAAGTGGGACAATAAGTCAATGTTTCTCTCTCTCTTCCTCTGTAAAATCAATAAATAAAGTTTTAAAAAATTAGGACAAGAAATGTAGACCGGGGAGTCTGCTTTCCGCATCAGCAGGAGGTGGAGGAGGGTCAGAGAAGGCAGGCGGAGACCGGGGGGCAGAATTTAGCTGGTTCTGTAAAGAAAACTCTTTTCAAGAAGAACCAGTCCCGGTGAAGCATAAAAGAGGGGAGTTCTACAGTCACCATCTCCACGCACGCCACCACCAGCGCATCGCAGACTGTCTCCCTAGTTTAGCAACCCCCCTCAGAACAATCCCAAACGCTGGAGAAAATAAACTTCATCTTCGATGGCGCCTCATCTCTAACTGCTCAGGTAAATCCCGAGAGAGCCAGCCCTTCAGCCTCAGAGAAGAGCATGCGTGTGTTTGCTGCCTTTATAAACATTTCCAGAGTGGCCTATGCTTTTATGAGACTCGGCGATATCTCCAGGGAAGAGACAGCCTTCCATTCATGGGGCTCTTAAAACAGAGAGTCCTTGATGGAGAGCCAACGGCGTCCATCACAGAGGTGAGGTCAGAGCATCGTGTGGGCGGTACAGCGGGGGGGGGGGGGCCTGCAGGGCCACCCACTGCCAGGCCACCCACTGGAGACGTTCTTGTGAGGTGGAGGAAAGGAAGCCTCCGAGGTTAAGAAGCTCTGGCCGTGGAGAGTGTCGTCGAGACGCGTGAAGGTTGAGGGTTCCATCCCCGGTGAGGGCACGTAGAAGAATCCACCACTGAATGCATCAATGAGCAGAACAACAAACTGATTCTCTCTCTCTCTCAACTCCATAATAAAAAAATAAGAGCTACACATAAATTCTGGAGCTGAAAAAAAAAAACCCACCAGTAACTGAAATGAAAAGTCCGCCCTGTGGCCGCTGCAGCTCAGTCTGCCAGAGTCCTGAGCAGTGCAGATACTGAACGAGCGATTTGAGTGGGCTTTATAATATTACACGATATTATTTACTATACAGTAAACATCACGTGTTTTGTTCCAACAACCCAGAGCCTTTCGCATGACGACTCTGCATCCTCCCGCTGGGGGGACAAATGGAAAGGGAGCCATGGAGGCCTGTGGGTGGGACCCTGTGGGGGACCCTGGGGACACCCGGGGGAGGCAGGCCAGGGCAGCCCTTCTTTGTGTAGACTCAGGGGCCCGGGGTAATTCTCTACCGGGAACTGTCCCTTCCAGGCCCGAGGCTGTGGTGCGGGCCTCAGATTCTCCTTTTTCCACTCCACCTTTCAAAGCGCTGTTGTCCACTGTGGAAACGCATTTGGGGACGGTCTGTCAGTGCCATCTGGTGGCCGGATGGAAATTCTGGAACCGTCCTGAGTCAGGAAAGGTTTTCATTATAGTTTAAATCAGGGGTCACGCAAGCAGGCAAAGCTTGCTTGAGCTCCGCCTCCTGTTCCCCTGGCCCTGTGGTCCTCCACAGAACCCCTGGTGCCAAAAAGGTTGGGGACCGCGGGTTTAAATGACCGAGTTCAGCCCTGGCTGGTGGGGGCTCAGTGGATTGAGTGCAGGCCTGCAAACCAAAGGGTCCCAAGTTCGATTCCCAGTCAGGGCACATGCCTGGGTTGTGGGCCAGATCCCCCAGTAGGGGGCGCACAAGAGGCAATCACACAGTGATATTTCCTTCCCTCTCTATCTCCTTACCTTTCCCTGATCTCTAAAAATAAATAAATAAAATCCTAAAAAAATAAATGACCGCGTTCAAGGCCACCAGCACACAAAGGTCATCAACTTAGACGAGGGCGCGTTATGTTAAGGAAAAAACTCACTATGACGACTTTCCACGGACATCTGCGTCCCCGGCATGAGCGGCGCTGACTGGGCTGCCCCCGCGAGTTCGTGCAGCGGAGCGTCCTGCGGAGAAGGCGGCGAGCACCGCGCAGGGCACCGGCGGCGGAGCCGGGCTGCACCCTCCTCGGTGAGAGGCGTGAAGACGGAGGAACCGCGGAGCTTCCATTTCGCGCGTGTTCCGCTGTGCGCCGCGGGCTGGTCCGTGTGGAGGACGCGATAGCTCTGCGTGGCCGGCGGTTTTCACTGGCCAAAGGAAGCAGCGCCGGCGGCGAGGCGCGCACTGCAGAGATGACTTTTCTCGCAGCCCGGAGGCTGGAAGGCCGAGGCGGGGGTGGGGGGTGCGGTGAGCCGGGCCGGCCTCGCCCGAGGTTTGCAGACGCTGCCCTCGCCGAGTCCGCAGGCGGCTGCCCCTTGGAGTGCGCGGGGCCGCCCTCGTGGCATTTGAAAGGGCTTCTCTCCAAACACACTCACAGCCTGAGGTCTGGGGTTTCACACTGGGACACACGCAGTTCAGCCCCGGGTGATGTGCGTTAATTTGCATCTCACCTGTCGCCTCCCCGCCCCCTGGAAACTGGTGCGTTTTCAGGGGCGACATCCCAGGGCGAGACTAGAGAGGCCTTCGGGAGGCGGCAAACGTCCGTTCCTCCGTCTGCAAACCAGGCCGAGATGCGTGTGCGGCCTCCTCGTGGGGGCCCCTGACGCCCCTGCGGGGGCGCACGGGGCCGATTCAGCGTCTTCCCCGCGGAGGCGACGGGAGAAGCCGGCGAGGCAGACGGGGATGAGCGCGGTTAGAAGGGGTGCGCGCGCGGGTGAGCGAAGGGCAGCCGAGGGGGGTCCGGACCCGCCGGCAGAGGACACCAACAGCCTCGGACCGGCGGGGACGAACGGGACAGGCGCAGGTGCCCGCAGGTGCGAGGGCGCGCGTCGCACCACTGCCAAGGGTGCCCGGGCGAAGCGTTTGGAGACATTTCCGTTTCTGCCAAACGCGACACATGCCGTGGGGCTGCACTTCGTCCATCTCGGACACTCCGCCTGTTTGACACCAAATCCAAGCTTCCTTCCACCCTCCCCGGACCCCTCCCAGGGCCCCCCTGGTTCCTGGGTGGGCAGCGCGGCCTCCCCCAGGCGGGCCACGGGTGCTCTCGGCCACCCCCTCTTCACCCCATTTCAGCTCCACAAACAAGTCCTGCCGGTCCTCCCTCCACAAGGACTCCGAGCCCATCTGTCCATGTCCGTGGCTCTGCCCTGCGCGGCCGCCTGGACATGGCGACCGCCCCCCCCCCACCAGAGACTTCTCCTGGAGGCCAGATCTCCAGACGGTGACATCCAGGCCAGAGCCCCGACAGCAGGCCCTGCCCATAGAGGGGACATCACCTCGAGTAGGGCTTCTGCCCTTTTGTTGTTGGATGTCTATTAAAATATTTATAGCCTATTTAATTATTCATACTTTTAGAATGCTTTTTAAATTTTTATTTATTAATTTTTAATATTTATTTTTAAAATATTTTACTTATTTATTTTTAGAAAGGGGAAAGGAAGGAAAAAGACGGAAACATCAATGAGTGGTTGCCTCTCGTGCGCCCCCTAGTGGGGACCTGGCCTGCAATCCAGGCCTGTGCCCTGACTGGGAATCAAAACTAGTGACCCTTTGGTTCACAGGCTGGCACTCAATTCACTGAGCCACACCAGCCAGGACTAAAATGCCTTTTTTAAAAAAATAAATTACCCTATTAAAAGATTGTAGGAAGCCCCGGCCTGGTAGCTCAGTTGATTACAGCATTGTCCAGATACACCAATTTGCAGGTTTAA